CGGGCTGAGGCTGATGACGTGCCATGAGTACACGAGAACGCTCAAGAACGCATATTGAGAAACGGCGAATAATATTGTGATATATTCTTGAGTATCATAAATAATCAAATCGTTGGGTCAGGAAATTTATACTGAATCGAATCGCCATGATGGGTGTGATTTACACCCCTATTAATCCCTATATAGTTCACTATATAGAGGTTACGCCAATTCAGATGAGTGTCTGAACATTTTTAATGTCTAAATTCTAAATTGCCCACAATGCACCTTGAAAATTAGTGATCAATGATAGTCACTAGACGAGCAGATATGTCCCAGATTGCTTCGAGATAGCTCTCCTTGCAAAGATTAGTTGTGACAGCGGCCCACGATCAGATAGACAGCAGTGACAAATAGCAAAGATGACGCAGGCACAGTGCGGGGGGGACAGAATTAAGTGAGCAATGGGGAGCTAAAAGTAGTGATCATCTATCCGAACAGTCAGTTAACCAAGTTCACGATAAACTCCACTATATAGTCCCTGCTTTATATAGTGATGGAGGGATTTAGGGGTTTGAGCGCCATTTCTGACATTTTGAATTAAAAAAAGCTTCCTGGATGGGAAGCAAAACATCTTCAAACTTGGAAACAAATTCTAGTGGATTGTCGTTTTTTCCCCATTTTTTTAAATGACTATGACCTGGATGACTGAGGTTCTTCACCAGCTTAATCACTAAAGGTTAACTCCTCCTGGCCCGTAAGTGATACAAACAAAAGGTTAATGTTCATATATTTTAGAACTGTCAACATTTATAAAACAATTATTTATATAGTGTATTTTCCTTGGTAAAATTAATACTTTTCATCATTATGATGAAAAAGTTGTAGCAATGATTTTCAATTTCAATTTTCTAACTTTGAGATTAGAGAAATTTCTTATACTTTTGAAAACTCAAATACTTATTTACAATACATTTTCTTTTTTGTCATTCTTTAGAGAAAAAAGAAAGAAGCAGAACTTTTTAACCTGTAAAACCAAAAAGCACTATGGACTGTTCTTCCACATACCTTCAATCAAATTATGTTAGATTCCAAATTAAAGTTAAACATAGTATTATCTGCTTCCTTAACACGAATATTTGTACCTGTTGGGTCCTCCTAACAACGTAAGCGTCATCTGGCTAGCACACACTCCAGTCATCTCAAGTCTCCGCTCCAACGTCAGACCGTAGCGCTCAGCAGCAGACAAAAGACGCTTGTGAAGCTCATAGGAAATACTCGGAACAACAAGTCCAGAGTCTGCATGATGTAAAGAAAAGCAAGTATAAACTACTGTAGCTCAATTTAACCTCCAACACTGGCAATGTGGTCATCGCAATGCTACACTTACCAGTGCAGTATTCTTTGGGTCCAGGCTGTGGCACCACAATCTGTCTGTAAACAATAGGTTTGCCCTCCAGGATATTTTCATCATGGCGGTACCGCGTGGGCGTCTGATCCTGAGGCGTGCCACGTGACCTTGCACCGTTACGTCGCTCGGTCGTGTCAATCTCTGAGAAAACTGCAGCTTTGTCAAACAATGCCAGGTTTCCTTCAAAGTCAAAGTCTGTATCAAGCCCATCATCCATGCCGTCGCCAAAGCACTCGTCGTCCCTATTTTTCATCTGCCCGTTCTTTACCCCATTCTTTTTTGGCGTTGCTTGGTTTGGCCCTCGACTGGTAGATGACCCTGACGGTGTTATAAAAACTCTAATCAGCATCACAAAACAACAATCCTCAGAAAAAAATGCCCTTCAGCCAAATGAATAAAAACTTACAAGAGTTGTGTCTTCGCCGAAAGCCTTTGGGTTGACCTAGTGCATCCAGATGACGTTCTCCATAACTTTTAGAGCACTGCTGGGGAGAGTTCATCTCCACAGATCTGGGATCCCCTTTTGGGACTGCAACTGGTACAGTGCTTCCCTTTGCAACTGTACTGGAGGTGGTCCTGGTATTCCCATTTCTGATGTCCAGAATCTTTAGCTCCTTTATATCAATGGCACTGTAAGAAAAAAAGCAAAGGAGCTCTTGAGTAACAAGCAAAAACATAACCAACTGATTTTAAACAGGAACTGGAAAGAAATCTTAGAGTTGTAGGGAAACAGCTGTTCCAATGGTTGCAGTTCAGAATTCTTCCGAGTGGTGCCCAGTTTATAAAGTCAATGTGATTGGTAGATTATCAAAGGGGCGGGATTCTTGTGGAGGAAGGTTCACAAGCTTTTTGGTTGTAGCAACGTAGTGCTAGTAGGTTCCCAATGGGAAATTCCATTGGGACCAAGTAGCACTAAA